ACTATTTTAAATTTAAATAGCCACATGCGGCCAGTGGCTGCACTGTGGGGCAGCTTAGCTTCAGGGGACTTGCGTGCACAGCTGCTTGACATAGCTCTTGCCTGCTCTCCTGCTCCTGGTCTGCCCCTCTCCCTCGGCCCAGAAATCAGCACTCACGAGGCCAAACTAGTGCTCACACCCCCGTGGCTGTGCACATGCCGGCCTCTTGGCCCGAAACGCCCTTCCTCTCCAGCCACCTTCAAGCTCCATGAAAATCTTGTTCAGGCTGCATTTCTCCAAGGCAACTCTGCCTCACCCTCTCCCACCTTACCTCTTCCCGCTGCTGACACAGTCTATCACTGCCTCCTCTGTGTCTCTCTGCGTGGTTCTGTCGCTCTCACCATCCCATAGTTGTCATTCATCCTCTGTGGCACTAACAGACTACGGGAATTTTAAAGGCTGGGTCTCATTCATCCCTTCACCCCTGTGATATGTGCCTGTCACATAATATGTGCTCAATAAATATTTGTGCACGTATTATTTGCTAAGTATTTGCACATATCCACACATTATTAATTTGTTAATAACAATGTTTTATTAAAGTAAGTTTCAGGCTATTGGCAACCGCTCTGTAACTATGGAAACTATATAGGTCAAATTATATTATAAGGCCTATTATCAAATAATAAAAAAGTTATTAGAATCTCAATTAAAGGTCTACTTATTTCAAGCCATAACAGTAGAGCATTTCAGTACAAATCAAAGAATGTAAATGTTCCCTGGAACAAAACCCTACCTGTAGCTGCTTCTCCTAAAGGGTCTGGAAGTCTCTTGGATTTCAGAAACTGATCCTGTCATTGATCTGTCCCCAGTGCTTGCAGTGACTTACTAGGGAGACATGAACAAGGTTGAAAAGCAAGAAGACAGAAGACCTGATTATGGGCACAGTCATATGGGAATTCAAGGGTACTCTATCCTTGCTGCACCCTCTACCCAATCCCACTTCCCAGAAGGAAATGGTTAAAACCTAATCTAATGTAAAAAATAATGATTGTGGATGATCTGTTTAGTGACATATGTTATCTAAAAAAAGTATTGTGTCTCCCTTATTTCTTAACAAAGCTTTTGCTCAAAAAAAAAAATCTTCCTTGTTAAATTATGTAGCATCTGTTACAATATTAACCTGCCTTGAGAGCCACCCCAGTTCTTTGTTTTTTTGTTTTTAATCACGATTATCTGACTAATCCTTTATTTGGATTCCCACACAAGTGTTCCTGCAATTAGAAAAGCGCTTGATGGATACATTGCTGTGAACCTAATTTGTATGAGATATTTCTTAAGTAGCACACATCTGATGGCTGTATTTTACAAATGATTATCTGTTCTGCCCTCCAGGAACTTCCAGTTTAACAACACAAACAAATACAGGGTGACCAGCGATGTGTATTTGTGGATACGGTCACAGCAGCGGGGCACTGAGGACATGGACCTCAGAAGAAGTAATGAGTACAAAGGACTTTATCTTCAAATCAAATATAGATTTCACTTCTGTTGTCTTATTAATTATGTGGTCTGGTTTGGTTTTTAAATGCACAAACAGCACTTTCTAATGTAATGAACTTTAATTTAATAAACGATTGAGTTCTTAGGGGCTGTACAATCATTTTGATAAATCTCTAATTTCTCCATGATGTTTCAAAGAAAGACAAAGGCCTAAGATATCTTTTGAGGCAGATAATGAACACTGGGAGATAAAAATCTTTCCCTACAATGCCCTAAATCCAAATACAGGGATATTCATTTTTGTCTAAAATTCCTCCTAAAATCTGCCCATGTAGGAAGAAGACCAAGTCTAGAAATTACATCCTGTATGTTACTGGGCTGGCTTTTGAATTCTACCAGTAGAAGATGCACTTATTTCCAAAATGTGTCCCATGGCTGCTCAGAAAAGAAGATCTAGCTTTCAGAGATTATGTTTTGAGGCTGAAAATGAAGATAGCGGCTTTAAGCCTCTGAAGATCCGTAATGCCGGCATGCCATCTATCTCAGGAATACCCAACAGGAATGTCAAACGGACAGGAGCGGCCATGGTGCCGGGCGCTGGCAGCTGACAGTGATTGCTGGATTGGGGGTGATGGGGAACGGGACGTCCATTAGTTGGAGTGAAATACAATGCCCTGCCAACTCCGGGTATCAGTGCATTCAATCCCCCTGCTGTGCCGTGTACATTTTCTGTTGCTGCAATTAAAAATCGGTCAATACACAGTCAAAATGTTGTACATTCCCCCCTATCCCTTTCCCTGTCACTGTGTTTCCAGCTTCACCGGAAGAACATGTCACTATGGTAACCAATCCCTCTGGTGCACAGACCAAGTCAACCTTTCCAGCCAGACTGCCATGCAGAGCAACACGGAATCAAAGCCCTCACTGCAACCAGCAGAAGCCATGAGTTGCATCCCCCTTTTCCTAAAGGGAGGGGGTAACCAATACCAGACAGGAGGATACCTGTCTCATTCCAGGAGCATTCAAGGCAGGAAATTCAAGAATGTCCTTCAGTAAGTCCTACCAGTGTTTATCAGTCATTGTTAACATGAATTATCCCTCCCATTCTGGCTAACTTCCTACCTCTCCAATTTTAACAAAAGCGGGAAACAATGGATAAAACAACGCTTTGTGGATGTGAGAATCTGAAAGCTGCTATAAAGTCACCCGTGGTCAAAAACTATTCCGCTTGCTCCTGTCTTCCTACTTCTAAATCCAAACCCGAGTCGCTCTCTGGAATTCTCTAACACCCTTTACAAAGTTGTAGAGCTCCAGGTGGATCACCCTGCTCTATAAAGTGCCTGACTGTGAAGCAGATGTGATATGTGTAATATTAACACACTCGTAACTAAATTAGCTACAATCCCTAGTCACACAGAACCTGCACCACCAGCATTAAGATGGTTTCTGACAGGATCTGCCTCACCTAGATCTGAATGGCCACCTAGACCATGCCCACTCCTTGTCATTCTTAAACAACTGACATTTTTTATTAACCTTTTCTTCCTGGTCCATTTCAACATTTTTATAAATCAAAGAACATCTGTTAAAAACAGCATCACACCTGCATTATAGTATTAAGAGACATTAAGAACTGTTTTATATCTAGGCCTCAAAGACTGCTGACAAACAACAGCGTCCTCAGCTTCTCATCATCATCTTACAGTTGAAAAGAATGAAACCCAGCAGGGAGAAACTCATCAAATCGCACCACATCTTCCAGGATGCCGCCACCACAGAAGAGAAATATTGATATATATCCAAACAAGATTTCAGTGGGTTGATGGAACTGGATGGTCCCCAAAGTCTGTATCATGCAAGATTTACAAATTGCATCAGGTAAGCAGATTTAAAATGTATGCGAGCATACTAAAGTATCACATTTTTATCATCAGTAAATACAGTTGTTTTTCTGTTTTGGTACACTTTGGGCATTTTTGTGGGTAAGTCTTCCGAAAACAGTACTTTTTTCCTCTGCAGTGCCCACTTTGGTGTCACCTGAAGAACTACTTCTTTCTGTGCTCCTCAGACCCGGCTCATATTGCATGCACACAAGTCACTTTTGTCAACCACGTTCTCAAAAGGGGGAAATCCAGAGCTGCATGCAGCATGAGGCTACTGGTAGGCAGGCTTTGGGCCGCCGCGGGCAGGAGCTGGGGTTTATTGACGTTTCTATGACCGGTGCCTGCACCGTGCCTGGTAGAGTGTGTAGCACTCAGCCAACGTTCCTGGCATCCCTAAGGCCTTGTGCGTGAGATGCTTCCCCCCAAACTTCCTTTGATGAATCCGTTCAACAGCTAAAATGAAGATTAAAACCGGGAGTCTGTCTACTCCAACACAGCACTCTTAAAGGGCTTCCTCTGCTAACAGCACATGATAGATCCCCCTACGTTTTCAGAGACTGATCAAGCGTTATCCCAGAATAAAAACCTGGGCCGTGAGAATCTCATCAGACAAACGCCAAGACAAGAGGCCGGGTAGGGAGAGGTAAGCCTCCCTGGCCAGCGACTGGGAGGCAAGTTACGGCCACTCCGAGGCTCGGGCGAGCCTGATGCCCTGACCTCCCGGAACCGGGGGGCTTGACAGACCTTGGGCAGGTCAGCAAGGCGACGGCGGCCGCGCCTA